CTAGGGCTGTCCGCTCTCCCCATCCCGGCTGCCCGGAGCCCTGCCCGGCTGTGCCGCTGGAGGGCAGTGGTCGCATGCCCAGCGCCCGATGCTCGCCGAGGAGAACACAGAACCCAAAACACAGCGCAGACTGCTSGGATCACCTTTACCGACTCAGATATTCCCAAATTCAGAGGCACGGTCTAGTGCAGCAGGCACCACGGGATGCTTGACGAGCCGGAGGTACTGAAGGAGGTATTTAAAAAAGGAATGAGAAAATGTACACAACTTTGTAGACTTGGTGTTGGAGCTCCAAATGAGCTGTGTTGTGGACTTTTTTCTTGTAAGGRCTTAGTGCTTCATGCTTTCATAATGCAGCTTCACAAATTCATCCGATAAATGCAAAGTGGTTTATGTGCCCCTCTCGGTGGTGGGGAGCTGAAGCCAGATTTCTTAGTTTACAGCTGGAATCATCATCTCTTTGTTTTTACAGAATAAAAAGCTCAGTCTGGTGGCTGGCCAAAGGCCCTATATTCAGCAGGTGTGCCCAACAGGAGCAGGGGTGCCTGATCTGTGCCAGGTTTCACATTGTTGGCCCACAATACAAGACATTACTTTGACCTCTGGTGTTCATGTTTTGCTCAGGTAAGATTTGTGGAAACAGTGAGAATGGTACAGTTCTGTGCTTGGCTAACCAATTTKCTCATTTCTGAGTGATTTTGAGGCGATTTGCCCACCACAGCCCTGCCTATCTGCAGGCACTGTGGGGGTGGAACAAGAGAGCTTCTCCAGAGACRATCATGATTTGTCATGACTTGTGCCAGCTTCGTCCCAGCTGGAGGCCCAGGGTGGAYTCAGCAATGTCAGCATGGTCCAGTTGGTCAGGAGTGAAAAAGAAGCTTGCTCTGATGCCTATTCTGTGTGTTAGGAAGCTTTTTTCTTTTAAGTTTGGGTTTTCTGACCAGGTAGGCATCGTTTATACTGCCAGGAGTGTGGGAAGATCTGGAGAAAGAATGCTGCTCCTGAGAGGTTCTTCAGTCATTTAGACCTATTTAGTCACTATGATATCAGTGATTTTCCGATATCACCCTCTGAATTTCTAGAGCAAGGCTTTCCACCAGCACCAAGAAGTACCAAAGGGCATTGGTTGGTGGGAAGGGTCCTACCCCCATCCTTCCAGTGCCGTTACTACCCTAAGGGATTTTAAGTTACTCCAGRCAGAGAGCTCTGTTTCTGGAGAAGRAGGATTTTTATGGTAGGCAAGCACAGGTTGCCATGGATTTCTGGCTGCTGTGCTGCTCTCTGTTTCCCAAAGGAACTTGTAGMTGTGGTCAGTGTGATGATCCATGGGAAAGGCTCTATTTTCTCTCAGTGGGAAGCAGGCTGCAGGTCTGGGGCAGAAATGCCCCAGCTGATAGTTTGAGGGGAGCACTGGGGGTACCCTATGTTCCTAGATACAGAGGATGCTTCTGTTTTTCCTACTTCCCTTTGCAGGAAGGGTGTCAGTGTGGTGTTGAAGCAGGTTTACCTCAAGAGCACATTTTTTKGTGAGAAAACTCTACAAAATGTCAAGTGTTCTGTATGTCTGTAATGCTTCTTTTTCTCTGTAGGAAGAGATATTTTTATTGTCCAATGTAGTTAGTTATTAACTATGTAATTAGCTAGAATTAATGGAAGAGTCCAAGACCCTTATGCAAATCCCTGGGGAGAATCAGGAAGTCTAATGCAAGGTAGACTCATCACCCATTTTCCCCCTCTTTCACACCTCCCCTATGAAGAGCAGCCAAATTAACCTGATGAGTGAGAGAAATTTCCATGTCYAGGAGAATGCATGGAAACTACCACYAGAGTTCTTCWTAGAAATGAGTCCCCAGRTGGCTGTGTGGGAGACCTCTAAAATCATGAGGAGGAAAAATCTCTTATTTTGGAAAACAGAAAAAAGAAACAATTGGAGAAATGCAGTCCAAACTAGAACTATGTTTAAAAGCACACCTTACCTTGTAGGACCAAGCTGACC